GTCCTGGGGGGCAAATGGGGAAGGGATTTGAGGATAATGAGGGGGAAAAGAGGGTAATTTGGGGGGGTAGGGGGAATTTGGGGTGATAATGGGCATAAATGAGGGGCTGGGGAGAAATGGAGGGGATTTGAGTGGCTGCAGGACACCCGTAAAGGATCTGGGCAGGGACAATGGGAAGTATTTTCCCATTTTTGGGGGTGTTTTTAACCTCACTGTGGCTGGAGAGCACGGAGACCTGTGAGGGCCGTGTCCTACCACCCCACTGGTGGCGTCTCACAGCATCCGGCGCAGGGACCAACGGCAAAATCCAACGAAAGTTTTGATCCTTTCCTGCGCCTGCAGGTGCCCGTCAGGGTCTTCCAACCTATCGCCGAAGGCCCCGAGTGAGGACGAGGCCTCGTGGTGCCTGAACCTGGTGTACGTCCTGCAGAAGTATCTGCTGGAGGAGATGACAAATTCAGTGTCGTTTGACACCGTGATGACGGTGCTGCGGATCCTGGGGCTGTTCATCAGCAAAGAGGAGTTGCTGCAAGGCAACAAGGTGAGGAGCAGGCCTGAAGCTGCTGTCGGGAGAGTTTAACCTCCTGTTTGAGGAGAACCCGGAGCTTCGGCCTCATCTTTTTTTTTTTGATTTCTCAAGGAATTCCAACAATTTAATTTGGCGGAAAAATTTAGAGAGTTTTCACATTCCCTCACACTGTGGCTCGAGAGACACTTCCAGATGGCACCAACGAAAAAGAAATCCTTCCTGAAGAACATGGAGGTGAGCGATGGGACCAACACAAGCCACCATCCTCGGGAGATCGGGGTGATCCTCACAGTTTGGCTCTTTCTCTGTAGATGTGGAAGCAACTGCTGTCTGTGCAGATCCTCAGCGGGAGGTGGAGCGAGATGTGGCAAAGCTTCATCCGCAACAAGTTGGAGGAGTGGCTGAAGAGTGTAAGTCATGGAGACCCTCCGTGGTGGGGGTTGATGCCAACACCTTTCCCCCCTGCTCAGTTTTGCATCCATCACTCTTTTGGTGGTGGAACTTGAGTGGGAAGGACCCAACAACCAGCTGCCTCTTGAGCGTTTCCAGAATCCCAGTCACCTCGGTTGGAAAAGCCCTTGAAGCTCCTCCAGACCAACCATGAACCTCACCCTGACCCTTCCCAACTCCCCAAGATCCCTCAGCGCTGGGTCACCCTGACTCTTCAACGCCTCCAGGGATCCCGGGGACTCCCCCCCTGCCCTGGGCAGCCCATTCCAACGCCCAGCAGCCCCTTCTGCACAGAAATCCTTCCTCAGAGCCAGCCTGACCCTGCCCTGGGCAGCTTGAGGCCATTCCCTCGGGGCCTGGCGCTGGGGCCTCGGCTCCAGAGACTCATCCCCCCTCTCTGCCCCCTCCTGGCAGGGAGTTGCCGAGGGCCAGGAGGTCTCCCCTCAGCCTCCTCTTCTCCAGACTGAACCCCCCCAGTTCCCCCAGCCGCTCCCCAGCAGACCTGTGCTCCAGACCCTGCCCCAGCTCCGTCGCCCTTCTCTGGCCACGCTCGAGTCATTCAATGGCGTTTTTGGGGTGAGGGGCCCAAAACTAAACCCAGTCATCGAGGGATGGCCTCAAAAAATTAATCTCCTTGTTGTAGATTAATGAGAATTGCCTTGTGGACTTATATGGGGCTTTCCTGAAGATGGAGAAGCCCGATGCTGAGTTGGAGAACTACTTTGTGAATCGCATCATCCAGTGGATCAGAGCCCTTGACAAAAGCAAGGTAGGAGAGCTGCCACCGCTCCTCAGGCCACTGGAGACATCTCCCTCCCTCTTTGACGACTCTTTTCCTGATCTGTGGTGGGTGAAGAGAGCGAGAAAAGGTGTTTTTGAACAGCTGTGAGCCCACAAAGCCCATAAAGAGGAGAATTTTCTACTCCTGACAGGAAGACACGCTGAAATCCGTGATATCCGTGTTCCTCAATGAGAGCAGACCAGCCACTGGTGCGGTGCTTTCCGTTCTCATGGAGAAGATGTGTTCGGAGCTGAGGAGGCTGGGAGGCATCGACGTGTTTGATGAGAACACCGACCCCGTTCTTGCAAACCTGCTCAACACTCCCGGACTCTGCGATCTCCTTTCTGCTGTCCGTAAGTGGCCTACGAGCGCTTTTCTTGGGAGAAGCTCTTGGTTTGGGAGCGAGCTAGAGGGGAAGACCAGGTCTTCTCACAGGGATCTTTCAATTTTGTTGGCAACACAAAATGAGAGGGGGAAGAAAATAATCCTCCACTCTAGAAAAATGAACTTTCATTCCTGGAATGGGAAACATTTTGGTTTTGTTGAGGGGAAGAAAATAATCTTCCACGCTAGAAAAATGAAGTTTCATTCCAGGAATGGAGAAATATTTTGGTTTCTTTATCCTGGGGTTTCAGTCTTGGACTAGAGAACCTCTCAGTTTTGTTGAAGGGGAAAAAATAATCTTCCATGCTAGAAAAATGAATTTAATTCCTGGAATGGAGAAACATCTTGGGTTTCGTTCCAGGAATGGAGAAACATTTTGGACTCTTTATCCTATCACAACGTTGTTTGGTTGGTTTTGAGGTGTGTTGTTGAGGGGAAGGACGTGACGGAGCCGGAGCGTGTCCAGGCAAAGCCAGTGAAGCGTTAGAACAGGGACCAGGGAGATGGTGGCACCACCATTCTTGGAGGGTTTCCATGATTGGCCAACGGCCACTGGCCCAAGGCTGGTGTTGGCCCTTCTTTGATCAGGAGATGGAGGAGAGGACAACCCAGGGCTCTTGCTCCCCGCTACAACTTCTGGCACCACCAGAAAGACTCAGGGCTGTTATCTCCATCACGGAGGAGCTGGTGGCTGCAGTGGGTTGTCCCTTCACCTCCTCTTGGCCACCAAAAACCCACTCAGGATCTTCTTCTGTGCTCCAGCCCTCTGTGGAAGCCCAACCTCAGATGCAATCTCCTGGGTGGTCCCCGTGGCTTCCTAGGTGGTCCCCGTGGTTTCTTAGGTGGTCCCTCTGGTTTCCCAGGTGGTTCCTGTGGTTTCTTAGTTGGTCCCCATGATTTATTTCAGGCTGGGGGTGGATATCTGAGTTTCCCAAAGGAAATTTGGGATTTTTCCAAGATGGTTTGATGGTGAGCTGGAAAGCCACCATGCATCCGTCCTCCACACTGGTGGGGTGACAGACCCCCCCACCAACTGGAAGCTTCCAGCTCTTCCTGAGGATCTGCCTTCAAAAGAAATACAGGAGAGAAATCGCTGGCTGTCTTTCACCAGAGTTCACTTATTTTCCAGAAAAATTGGAGCGCAAGTTTCACCTTCAGCTCAGCAAGGGGGCGAGAACCCTTCTTTCCCAGCTCTACGCGTTCTTCAGCCTCATGGGCCACCGCGTTCTCTCCGGAGACATCCCCTGCAGCACCCTCTGCACCTTGCTAAACCACGAGGGGATGTTCACGCAGATCCTCTGCACCTGTCGTAAGTTTGGAGCTTCCAACGGGGACCTGTTTGTGGAGTTTCGTGGCCATCAGGAGAGAAATCCACTGGAAAATCACCGAAAACATAAAAAACCTCCAAAATTATCTGCAACGCGAGTCCAAAAAAATGAGTCAAAATGTGGTAGTTGGCCACAGAGGTGATTTGAAGCAATTTGAGGAGCAGGAACAGAGGTGATTTGAAGCAATTTGAGGAGCAGGGAAGAGTTGAGGGTTTTTTATGCAGTTAAAGTTTGGGGTGTCAGCGGAATTTGATTGAAAGTTTTCAATATTTTTGTGGGTTTTGGGGGCAACTCTTCCAAATTCTGCTCTGAGAATAAACTTTATTGATATTGGTGGGTTTTTTTGGGGCCAAGTCCTCCACATTCTTCTCTGAGAATAAACTTTATCAACATTTTCAATGTTTTGGGGGCAAAGTCCTCCAAATTCTGCGAAGCAACGATGCTCCTTCCTCCGCCTGTGCCATGGCATAGAGGGGATAATAAAAGGTACCAGTGGGGTTAATGGAGCTGCTTCCTGAAGCTGGTTCTTCTGTGCTTCTTGAGTGGGGAGATGTCTCCTAAAATAAAGAGTCTCACAGTGAGTGGGAGGGAAACGCGATCGGGGAACTCGTTGACTTCAGGGCTTGTTGGAGAGACCCAGGACTGGTTCCTTCTTGTTGAGAGACAAGTTTCTTCTTCTTCCCACCCGCTTTAGTGGATCGAAGCACCGTGGAGAGGAGCATCACGCACAGGAACATTTTAAGAATCAGATGTCGGTGATGAAGTTCTCCATCGATGGCAAGAGCGAAATGGAATCGCACGTCCTGGCAGATTATAGTGACATGATGCAACCCTTTGCGTCGTGGAGGAGAGCCAATGTTTCTGTCAGTTGTGGAGGATGAGAGCAGAGGGAATCAAAGCCACTGTACCTGAAGATCAAGTTTTCTCCGTGGAAGATGTTCAAGAAAAAATTTATAAGCCAGCCATCACTGACTTTCGGAAAACCTACTTGTCCCTCAAAGACTTCTCCATCACTCTGGGGACCGTGCAGAGCCTCTTTGAGAGGCTGCTGGGAGAGAAGGATCTGCTGGTGGAGGAGTTGAAACTCATGGAGCGCAGCGAAGGGCCGGGCAGTGGAAGAGCTCTCTGATCCCCGACGTGGTGGAGAGGATCGAAAACTTCCTGATGCTCTCCAAAGTGGTGCCGACGGCCCAGATGATCAACGCGCTGAGGCAGCAGCTGCAGCTGAGGGGGATTTCCAGATTCTCAGCGACCTGACAACATACGTATGTAGGGGACGTAAGACAGCGCTGAGGGATCTGGTGGAGTTGGGAACGGTCAGCGTGAGCTGTGTGGTTGGACTGAAGGAGCTTCAAGGGCTGTTCCAACCCAGAGGATTCGGTGGTTTGAAGACGCGCAGGCACCTGTGGTGGTTGCTCCTGGGAAAAATTCACGTAGGCGGGTCCACGTGGTAGCTGATAATTAAATCCTATCGGGTGCAATTCCATCCTCCTTAATTAATCTTGAGTGATGGGCTGAAGGAATTAATTCCAGCTTCCTCTTCCTTTTCATCACAGAGGCCTACAGGGGTGAACTTAAGAGCAGATTTGGGTTTGAGGCCAAGATTTCATCTTGTTTAGGGAGGAGGAGGTAGAATTGAGCTTCCTTCCTTCTCTTCCCAACAAACTAATTTTTTTTTTGTTGGTTTTTTTTCACAGAAAGAGCAGGAATTCAAGGATAACCGACTCGATTTTATTACTGAAGACTTAATGAAGGTGAAAAAAAGTTTGAGTGACATTCCCCAGGGAGTCTTGGACTTTCTGAAGGAACTTCTGGAATGTGCAAAGAAGGTTTTACCTCATGGATCAAGACCATAATAAAAGGTGGGCTGGAAGGAAGTAAATCAGATACGGCAAGAGGAGACCGCTTGGGCCTTTTCTGTCACTGCATCCAACCTGGCGTTAGATGGATCAGAGCAGAGAAATTCCTCAACTTGTCTTTTCTTTTTTTTTTTTTTCCCCCAGACAAGACAGAAATCCCCTTCTTTCTGGAGTTGGCATTGATTTCTGCAGGTGAAAATGACATGGATATCGACAGAGTGAGGTTCTTCCGGGACGCCATGGCTGCCTCTGCCCCCATCGTGTTAGACCTGAGTCGTACAGCTGGCTTTGACGAGTTCTCTGCAGCTCTGTCTTTCATCAGAGAAGCCATTGAGAAGGACAGTAATCTTCCCAAAAAGCTGGTGAGTCTTCAAACCTCACGTCCAGAAGTCACTTGGGCTCTTGCTGTGAGGCCAAGCGGCTCAGTGTAGGTGTCTGATGCCATCTAAGAGGGTTTCCCCAGGACATTGATGGGGGTCTGGTGGGACCTGGGCAAAGGCTGAGCATTTTTTGCACTGGAAGCCTGGTGGAACATCTCCTATGACATGGGTGGGCAACTGGAGGAGACCGGGAGGGCTTGTGAGTAGGAGGAAATGAGTTCTGGAGTCCAGCTGAGGATCACAGAATAGCTGAAGTTGGAAAGCGCTTGGTTGAGCTTGACATAGTGCTTAGGGATATGGTGTAGTTGAGAGTGGTCGGTGTCAGGTTTATGGTTGGACTGGAGGATCTTCAAGGTCTTTTCCAACTGAGATGATTCTGTGAAGGCACCTCTGGAGATCAGCTAGGCCAAACCCCCTGCTTAAAATGGCGTCAGGTAGGGCAGGGAGCTCCCGGCCGCCTCCAACTGGGTTTTGAGCATCTCCAAGGCTGGAAGACTTCAGAACCTGTTTCAGAATCTGATAGAAAAGCTTCAGTTTAACAGAATCCCTCGTGTTTATGCTGACACTGAGCCTTACACTCTGCTCCCCGCCAAAACCAGAGCAGAGAGCGAGAGCTTCTCAACACACCAACGGTCTGGGGCGTTAGGAGAGGTAGACTCTGGGGCTGTGTCTCCTCAGAAGCCATGGGACACCCCATCCTCAGGAGAAACGCTCCCAGAAACCCCACCCACATCAAATTTCATGTGCGGGAGTGGTGCTCAGCATCTTTCCAGCTGGTTACTGGGTTTCCCTTTGGTTCTTCTTTTATGCAGAAAAGTTCCTGCGATAACAGAGATTGGATCCAGATGGTTCACGACTCTTACAGCTTGGTGGAGCGTTCTTCGATCTCTCAAGCCATAGGCATCAACAGAAATGGGATTTTTACCATCTCAACACCTCTGAAATTCAAGGTAAAGGGTTTCCAAGAGAGTTTCTTGTCCAGTTGTATTTTTTAATGCCATTGGGAGGAAAGATCTTTCTTGAAATCAACTTCCGATGAGCATCACAGGTTGCCAGTAGATCTCCAGTTGGGTTTGCAACTGGTACCACCAATTTTCTGTTGAACCTTGAGGATTTTCAGCAGGACATGGGCTTTTCTTTCCTCCAAAGGAAGTGGTACAAGACATGTAGAGTCCCGACGTTGCAGTGTTTCCACTCAAAGGCCATGTGGTGACGTTGGTTGTCTTCTCTGCTCCCCAGGCTACGCTTGAGGACTGTGTCTTGTTTCATCTGCGGGATGACGATGAGGAGGGCACATCTCCAGCAGACCAGAAGGTCAAGAAATACACTTTGTCTCAGCTCACGGAGCTCCGGAACAAGCTGATGTTGATTGCCACCAAGGTCGAGCAAGGCAAAGACAAGGCAAGTCGTTTCTTGGAGGTGAGTCACAGCACAGTACCAACATCTGAAAAACAGTGGCCGTTGGGCTTGGGATTTTGCTGGAATTATTGCCGGGAGAGTCATCTGTGAACTGCACTTCTGGTCTCTTGGGAGCAGAGGTGTTGCTCTGGGATGATGCCCATTTCTTCTCGTGGATGGAAGTGTTAACACGGGAAATGATTTAACAGGAAATCTAGATTTATTCACAACTAACAGCACTGGATCGTTACAAAATAATTCAGGAAATGTTATAAAAAAAGCGACTTATCTACAGGTTCTAAGATGACAAGATTCCCACTAACTTACTTTATGGTGTCTTAATTTATTTGGTAACTGAGAGGCTCCCAGCTCAAGGGAGATGCTGTCACACACCTGTGCCAGGCCCTTGGGAGATGATGTGCTGCTATAACTGTTTGGAGCAATTGGAAGAAGGCCAGTGGCATCCTGGCTTGTATCAGCACTAGTGTGCCAGCAGGGACAGGGAAGGGATCTGAGCCCTGGGCTCGGCACTGGTGAAGCCGCCCCTTGATGAGTGGGTTCAGTTTTGGGACCCTCACCCCAAAAAGGCCATTGAATGACTCGAG